TAGTCTACTATGCTGATAACTTTCCCCATGTGCCCCATGAACACTAGTATTTCCCACCATTACATCCACGCTTTCATCTGTCAATGCATTCAATGAACAATCACACCTACTTCATTCCAGGAGGACAACTTTGTCAGATACCCATTTGTCAATGGTTTTGCATGTGAACCAATGCTCCAAATCACTTGCATCAAAGAAACAAACGCTGCCTTGCCACGGTGGCTCACACCTGTAATCCCAGCACTTAAGGAGGCTGAGGTGAGTGGATCACTTGAGGTAAGGAGTTCGAGACCAGTCAGACCAACATGGCGAAATCCCATCTCTACTAAAAATACAAAAATTAGCTGAGAGTGGGGGCAGATGCCTGTAATCCCAGCTACTGGGGATGCCTGTAATCCCAGCTACTGGGTAAGAGAATCACTTGAACTTAGGAGGTGGACATTGCAGTGAACTGAGATCACACCACTGCACTCCAGCCTGTGTACAAGAGCAAAACTCTGTCTCAAAAAAAAAAAAAAAGATAAAAGAAAGAAACAAATGCTTGCAATTTTGGCATGATACATAATTTCACTTTGCAACTAATTCAAACTACATTATGATCAGCAAGCCCCTAAGCCAATCAGGAGGATGGGAATCAGAAGTAAGCTTGAGAAATTAATTTTTTAAAGTGATAACTTATTAATAATTATTTTCATGTCATGATAATTCTTCTTCCCTACATAACCCTGTAATTTCAAAAGCTCAGAAAATGAACTCTCAGGTAATAGGGACTCCATTTTATGTTATTAGCTCCCAAATCTCTATCCCAGATTACTCTCTCCTGAGCCAGAAATAAACTTTCAACTACATACCAGACATTCCCCCATGCCCACTCTGGCAGTGCCTACTCATCATTCCAATTTCAGCTCAAACATCACCTAGCGCCTCCCCTCAAGGATCCATCCACTTATCTATTAAATGAATCTGACACTCAGTGGTGTACCCTTGCATCTAAGACAAAGCCAAAGACCTTCCCACTAAAAAGATTATTTAAAATGCAAGTGGGGCTGACAACAGTGGCTCGTGCTTGTAATCTGGCACTTTGGGAGGCTGAAGTGGGAGGATGGCTTGAGCCCAGGAGTTTGAGACCAGTCTGAGCAACACAGTGAGAGCCCATCTCTATAAGAATTTAAAAATTAGCCAGGCGTGGTGGCATGTTCCTGTGTTCCCAGCTACTTGGAAGACTTAGGGTGGGAGGATTGCTTGGGCCCAGGAGACTGAAGCTGTAGTGAGTGAGCCGTAATAGTGCCACTGCACTCCTGTCTGGGTGACAGAGATCATGTCTCAATAGATAAATAAATAATATAAAGTAAAATAAAATAAAATGTAAGCGGTGGGTATATACATAAGACAGAAAAATAAATAAAAAATAAAATGTAAGTGGGACTGGGACTGAAGAGAGGCGAAACAGAATGAGGGAACAGAGGAGGGGACCAGCATAAAATGCAACAGGGAGTGGTAGGATTTGTTAAAATCTCAAAAGAATGGATAAAAAGGAGTTGGCCAGGTGACAAAAATCTTTGACATAACTTTTTTTGATAGGGAAAAACAAGAAAGGGTGCTTCAGATATTAACAGAAATAAGAACGCAACCAAATTTGTGCCTTTGTTTACCTTGCTGAGCATTGAGCGGCAGGGAGGGTTATTGATAAGGTTAAAATGCTAGGCAGATGCTAGAGTTTCAGGTGCAAAAATTACTATAGGTTTGTATTTTTTCTCTCCTTTTATGCTTGAAAATTAACTGCTTATTAAATAAATAACGGCTTATTAAAAACCACTTTCCACTTTACATCTAGATTTAAATGACACATTTTACTAAATGACTCAGAAACAAGACAGGAACAAGGAAACAATTTAAAGCTACATTTTAACTGCATTTAGTCTTACAGTAAGAAAACAACTCAATAGTATCATCATGATCATGTAAAAGTTTTTAAAACCTTCTCTTCTACTAAGGAGGGAACTCTGTAAAGGAAAAATGTGCATTGTTCCTTTCCCTTGAGAAATCAAAGTACTTTCACATTTATCCTCATTTTATCTCACATACTGAGAGAAGGTTATAGGTTAGGGAAACAGGGAAACAGAAAAATTAAGTGATTTCCTTCATTCTAAGATGCATGTTTTTGACCCTGACCTTTTAAAAAATCAAGGTGGATCTCACATTACTGATTTTAAAGCCATCTTTTCTAGGGGAGGGCCACACTGAGTGTATCTTACAACTATGGGTATCCTCTGAATTCAAAAAATATGATAAAGGATTTTGCCCAAATTAATAAGCAAGAAAGTGGCAGAACTGGGTAAAAACAACAACAACAACAAAAAATCTCTGTTAAGCTATTTATACAAACAGGAATATAGCAGCCTGTTTGGCTCCTCTCTTATTAATTAAATATACAGGGCCTACCTTTTACTAGGCTCTTCCTGAAAGAAACACAGAGCCATACATAACACCTTTTCTGCCTTCAAGAAGTATATAATGATGCCTACATAATAGAGATGCCTATACAAATATCTATAAAACAAAAAAGTCTGGGATCAATATCAGAAGAATGACACAGAGTGAGAAACATAAATTCAAAAAAGGAGTAGTCATTTTTCAGCCAGGATACTGTGAAAATCTTCACACAATAAGAGCTTAATATATGTTGACTGTGAAGGCATTTTGGAAAACTCAGATAAGACTTTGAAGGACTGATGGATTTTCCACAGGGAGAGATTGTGCCAGAAAGCACTCTAAGAATAGAGAGTAGCAGGGCCCAGGAAAAAAAACACCGAAATCAGCCACGGGGTCTCAAATGGCAGAAGCAAGGTGGGGAATAGTGGGAAAGAAGGCTAGAAATGTAGATAGGGGCTAAAATACAGAGTTCACTGAAGGTCAAACAAAAAATTGTGAGCAAACGGGAGTAGCCTTTTGACATTCATGCTTCAGGAAGACTAAACTGACAGTAAACTACACTGGCTGAACTGGAGTGGGGAGAAGTACTGCTGCAGACAACACAGTGTCAAGAATTCCATTCCTGAACTAGGTCGTATCAGCAGCAATGACAAGAAAGAAGTGTCTTCCCTTCGAACTGCGTGGGGACTGCTTTTGGATAAGAGCAAATTCCAAGAGAACAGAGCATTAACTTGTTAGGATTTGTAGCCCCACTACTCCCTGCACAATACTTTATTTACCCACAGTAGAGCCTCAAATAAAAAACTGAAAAATGGCAATCAGCAAAGTCTGATTTGAATCTTCACCACTAATGAGATAGCCAAAAGGCCATAGTCACAAGCTTCTATTTCTCAAACCCAGTAATATTACAGTTAATGTGGCATTCCTCTCCAATCTTGTTTTTACAGACTAAATCAAATTTTGCCAGAAGGCTTTAGAATTCTCCTTCATTCATCCAAATACACCACAGCATTTTTCTTTTAAAGTTTATAAATCCAATTTCAACACACACACACACACACACACACACACACACACACACACACACACCAGAAAACCTTGCTGAAAACTCATTTATCTAGCATAAAGTTTTTCTTTCAGGCAGCAATCAACATGCCTTTTTTTTTTTTTGAGACGGAGTCTCTGTGTCGCCCAGCCTGGAGTGCAGTGGCGCGATCTCGGCTCACTGCAACCTCCACCTCCCGGGCTCAAGTGATCCTCCTGCCTCAGCCTCCCAAGTGGCTGGTATTACAGGGGCCCGCCACCACGCCCGGCTAACTTTTGTACTTTTAGTAGAGACGAGGTTTCACCATGTTGGCCAAGCAGGTCTCGAACTCCTGACCTCACCTCAGGTGATCCCCCACCTCGGCCTCCAAAAGTGCTAGGATTACAGGCGTGAGCCACCGCGTCCGGCCAACATGCTCATTTAGTTACTTATAGAGCCTGCCACATCATTAGTTCAACTACAAACTGCTGCTTACATTACCAAAGTTGTGCAAAGGCTCCAAAGTTGTGCAAGAGTAACCACTGAAATCAGACTCTGGTATATTAATAGTTGCAACATCTAAACAATCTTTATGTTTATTATTAGATTCAAAGTAATGCCAAATCACAGGTATTAAAAATATTTACGAAGAGTTTGTTTACGTTTCTGTGGAATACACTAGGATGTCATTTTAAGTGAGAATAACTGAATTTCTTTCTGCTTCAAATGGGCATGAGCTCACCTGAAAATTAGCAGTTGACACCGAACCTGACATATCTAAAACAGCAGCGTCCCCAACAGACATACGTAAGTACACACCCAGAGCACTGAACGACTTTATATTACTATTAAATAACCCCAGTTCACACGTGGCAAAAGTGCACAGAACTCGTTCATGCTTTCCTAACCCCGAAAGGGATTCTTCAGCCGTCAAGTAATAAGACGTGACTTACTCCGCCTTGAGAGTTAAAAGTGTTAAAAAAGCACATATATGTATATATTATATATATTTTAAAGCTTTCCTTTTCTCCTTCTCAGCTGCCTGTCCCACACCAAAAAGCGCCTTGCCCAGGCCTTGACAGATGCGTGCAGGTGGAAGAAGGTTGTTACTGGTCAGGAACTAAGACCCGGGTCCCAACACCTTCTGCTCGCCTAGGATTCCCTTTTTCTTTCTTCTGGGGCCGCGAAGAGACCTAACGCGAGGGGCCCTGGGGGTGGGGTGCAGTCATGTGAGTCGGGCCCCGGCGGCCCTGCGCTAGGCCTCCCCTCCTGTCACACACTTCCTGAATCGAGTGTCGCAAACGGCTGCCGCGGCCCTCGGCTGCAAGACTGGCCCGGTCGGGGGCCGCAGACCGGGCCTGGCCAGGCCGCGGCCGCTCGCAGTGCCCACGTCACCAGCTCTAGCACTGCGGAAATGGAGCGGCGCGGCCGGGAGGGAGGCGCCGGGTGGAGTCCGCGTCCCCGCCACCGCCAGACGCCGTTTGCCTCTCAGTCCGGGTCCGGAGGCCGCTGACACTCGCCCGACCGCGCCAGGGGCCCTCACCTGTGTCGCCGATTATGATGTACTTGAAGAGATAGGCGTACGCCATGGCCGCGGCCGCTCAGTGCCAGGGCACACGGCTCCTCCTCCCGCTACTGCTCCTCCTCCGCGCCCCTAACCCCGGCGCCGCTCAGCCTCGAAACGCCAGGCTCCGCCCGCCGCCGCCGCCGCTGCTGTCAGCCGCCGGGAGTGAGGGGCTGTGAGGTAGCCGGACGAACTGACACCCGCAGAGCCGAAGGAGACAGCGCCCGACCGAGCCCAGCCGAACAATAACAGCCACCGCGGCACCTCCGCCCCGCCTCCGCGTCGACCCGGAAGTGCTGCGGCCGCCGGCGCCGCCGGAGGAAGGGGGAGGAGCCCCGCACGCTGGCCGCGCCCCGGCGGCCGCAGCACCGCCCCGCACCGAGCAGGAGTTACTCGGTCCGCTCTGTCCCTAGGCAAGGCGAGTCCGGGCTCTGGTCTTTCCGCGACGTTTGAGCGGGCGAGCCCGGCGGCCAGGAGACGCCGGGAACGGGACTGGTGGGGATGCAGAGGCTAGGTTCTGTCGCCTTCCGCCCTGCGGTGGGGGCGCGGGGCACGTGGGGGGACGGCAGAGGCGGTGTTCGGTGCAGGGCCCCGCCCTGGGCTGCTGAAAATGTGTGTGAAAATGTGGGAGGCACACGGCGAGGGGGTGGGGGTGAGGTGTTATTTCTGTGTTTGGCATCGGGGCTTGAAGGTGAAAAATGGCAGTATTTATAAATGGGAAACCGTAAATCTGGGACTGCGAAGTAAATCATGGTATGCGCATACAGTGGAGTACTACGTTGCTCTCTCCTGAGGTCAGGAGTTCGAGACCAACTTGGCCAACATGGCGAAACCGCGTCTCTTCTAAAAATACAAAAATTAGCCGGGCGTGGTGGCGCTCGCCTGTAATCCCAGCTACTCGGGAGCCTGAGGCAGGAGAATCACTTGAACCCGGGAGGTGGAGGTTGTAGTGAGCCGAGATTGCACCACTGCACTCCAGCCTGGGCTACAGAGCGGGACTCTGTCTCAAAATAATAATAGTAAATAAAAATGAATAAAGCCTCTGGATCTGTCCTGGTTTTGAGGGCTGCTCAAAAAAAAAAAAGCCTGATTTAGGTTAAGCAAAACCGAGACAGTCTGTATATGTGTGTGTATATAACATGCACCATATGTAATATATGAATTGTATACAATTTTTATGTGTAACGAATAGTGGGAAAACATTTACATTCCTATATATGCATAATCAATCTGAAAGGAAAGGTAACTGGTATTAAGAGAAAGGAGGGAATGGAATTGGGGGGAAAAATGTACTTTTCCCTGAATTTTTTTGTGCAGTTTGATGCTTTTTGCAGTGTTCATGAGTTACCTATTAAGAAATACTGTTAAAGGAAAAAACAAAATGACTATGCATTCGAGTAATAGTTATTGAATACTATGTTTCGTGTACTGCCAGGCATAGCAACTAGAGGCCCTGCATTTCTATGTTCTGTTTTTCTACTTTCCTTTTTAAATCATCCAGCCCAAAATGTCACCACTCTGTTCAAAAAGAGCACAGGTTATGGAAGAGGAGGTGGAGAATAGAGTGTCAGGAAAGATTACTTAGAGATTATGATTTCTGAGCCAGGAATATGAATGATGTATTGAGTTTCTCAAAAGAACAGCAGTTTGGGGAAGGGAACCAAAGTTTATGGACAAGGAACAGAATGTGCAAAATTCCGGGATCTGTTGAGAGAATTTGAAGTTGCGGAAGGAATCTAATTGACTAACTCATATCCTCATAACCCATAACCTCATATGGAAGGAGAATCATTGCTGGGGAAAAGTGATTGGGATTTAGTGGCCCTGGTTCCTTTTGCCTAATACTCTTCTCTTTGGGGCCTCTCATTATATAATTAGTACTGACACCATCATGCTGGGTAGATGTGGAGAGTTGCTGTGTGCTTTGGTTGGCCTTGCCAAATATGAACTCACAAGGTTTTTCTGGAATATTTGGAAGGCATTTTACTAAAGGGTGAGGAGGGATGGCATGGAAGAATTTGACATGAAAAGCTACCTGGAATCGCAAAATTTGGTTCATTCACCTTTAGTTTGAGGAAGGGGAGGTCCCTGCCCAAGGCCTCCAGGTTTCAGATGTCATTTTGTCCCTCCCACTTGAGTGCCTTCACCCACGTCTTCCTGGGTGATAGAGGAGAAACTCAAGTCTTCACTCTCACAAGATAGAGGGACATGGCCTTCCTTCACCAACAGCCTCAACTGGACAACGCTGTCAGGATGTCACACAAATGCCTGGCATCCTAGGAGTCAGGAGTATTCTTGCATTGTTAGAGGAGGAGAGTACCTGGAGAGGTCTCTTGTGCCAGGTTATGCAGGGCCTTGTATGTTATGTCACCATGCATTTAGAACTTTACCCAGTAGACACAAGGGAAATTGTGACAGGAAACAGGGTCAGAACTGGGTATGTAGCAGAAATCATAGAAATGGATATAAAGCTATAGAGGTAATATGTTATAAGGAAAATAACTTAGGAAACCCGGCTTCTGGTCTTGGCTGTACCTGTAACTGATTGGATTAATGTGAGGAATCGTTTAGCCTCTTAAAGCTTCAGAGCACAGGTTGCGACAGTTTGTGCCTGCAGTCCCAGCTACTTGGGAGGCTGCAGAGGGAGGATAGCTTGGGAGTTGAGGCTGCAGTGAGCTAGGATGGTGCCGCTGCACTCCAGCTTGGGCTATAGGTTGAGACCCTGTGTCTTAATGAATAAAATAATTATTTAAAAAATAATTTTAAAAAACTTATGAGTGGTTCAGTGCACTTGTCTATAAAGTAAAGGAGTTAAGTGTTTCTTAAAAGGGCTATTCCAAGCATGAAGTCTTAATTTTCTGCTTAACCAGCCTCCAAATCTAAAGCCATCTGTAAAAAGGGTAGTAATCCTCTTGTGAAAATGCAAGGGCCATAGATGTCAAATGCATATTGTTCTGATTGATTGATTGAGAGGAGGTCTCGCTCTGTCATCTAGGCTGGAGTACAGTGACCCAATCATGGCTTACTGCCATCTTGACCTCCTGGGCTCAGGTGATTGTCCTGCCTCAGCCTCTTGAGTAGGTGGGACCACAGGCACATGCCACCACGCCCTGATCATTTATAATTATTATTTTTTGGAGAGATGGAGACTCCCTGTGTTACCCAGGCTGGTATTGAACTACTGGCCTCAAGCAAGTCTCCCACCTGAAGGACAGGATTTTCAAGTTCTTTTCTGGGCTTCAGTTTCCTTATTTGGAAAATGTGGATAATAACTGCTTCACAAAGTCCATTTAGTATCAACTAAGATAATATATGTGAAAATACCATGTAAATTATGAAAAATGTATACCTAATACATAAAACTCTTTGTGCTGCATAATTTTTAGAAATTACCTTGAGGGACTGAGTGCGGTGGCTCATGCAGGTAATTCCAACACTTCGGGAGGCAAAGGCTGGAGGATCCGTTGAGCCTAGAAGTTCAAGATCTGCATGGGTTACATGGTGAGATCCTGTCTCTACAGAAAATTTAAAAGGAAAAAAGAAATTACCCGGAGGAAGTAAAGGCCTAATCACTATATAAATTCATGGTTTAAAATTAGCGTCGTTCCTGGCTCTATTTTATGTCTCTACCTTTTTTCCCTATGTATGACTCATAATATTTTGTTATATTTTCTATAAACCTATAATCTGTTTTAAATCCTCTTGGAAAAAATACAGGGTATAAATAAAAATCACATAAACCTCATTTAAAACATGGTCTTTAGCCCATAAAATCCAAACATTTTTCAAGAAAAGTTCCCTAGACAAAATAAGAGAAATAAACCTCTCTTCCATTAAATATAGTATACTTCCTGGGATTTTCCATTCAGTTTGATTTTTGGCTATTTTCAATCTCTCTCTTAGGATGTATTGTGATAACTCTGCCTTACATCATATGTGGTCTGAATGTCATAACTGTGGAATTTCAAAATTGTAACACTACATTCTTCAGTGTCTCCTAATCAAATTCTCCATGACATTTTCGAGTACAATGCTATGTTAGAAGTTTGCATTTGCTTCTCCCAACCAAACTTTCATGTTTGTATTTTCTCTGGTTTTAATTACTCTCAGGCTTTGGGAAGAGGGATAGGGTGGAGTCGAATGGGAGAAGGTGGTTGGGAATACGGTAATCTTGAGGCTTTTGCCTTCGTTTCCATGGTTCCTTAGCCAATCCTTCTGAAATGGTATGCAAAACTGATAGTGATGTATATATTTGCACATGTACACTTTTATGGGAGAGATTCTTCCATGACCCGGAAATAAGAACAATTGTGAAATGCCTTCCTTCAGCCCTCTCCAAATACCGTAACAGAACCAATTTTCCAGCAAATACTTAAACTCGTTACCAGTTTTTTGTTGTTGTTGTTTTGTTTTTTTGAGAAAAAAGTCTCGCTCTGTCACCCAGGCTAGAGTCCGGTGGTGCAGTTTCAGCTCACTGCAACCTCCACCTCCCGAGTTCAAGCAATTCTCGTGCCTCAGCCTCCCAAGTAGCTGGGACTGTAGGCACACACCACCATACCCGACTAATTTTTGTACTTTTAGTAGAGTTAGGGTTTTGCCATGTTGACCGGACTGGTCTTGAACTCCTGGCCTCAAGTGATCCACCTGCCTTGGCCTCCCAAAGTGCTGGGATTACAGGTGTGAACCAACACACCCAAACTCAGTACCAGTTTTGGAAGAAGAAATAATTAGATTCAAATCCTGACTTTACCACTCAACATCAGTTGAGTGATCTTGGATAGATTACTAAATGCTCTAAGTCTTAGTTTCCCCTCTGAGATGACATATATAAAATGTCGAGTACTATGTCAAGCACACAGAGGACACTTCTGAAACATTGAGGTTGTTTCCCCCTTCCTTTCCTCTCCTCCTTGTCGTCTTCCACCTTCAACCTGTTAATAAGAACTGTAGCTGTGAAGGAAATACATCTCTCCCTCTACCCCAGCTCACCCAACTGGCAATAACAAAAAACCACAGGAGGCTGGGCGCAGCAGCTCACACCTGTAATCCCAGCACTTTGGGAGGCTGAGACGGGTGCATTACCTGAAGTCAGGAGTTCGAGACCAGCCTGGCCAACATGGCGAAACCCCATCTCTACTAAAAATGCAAGAATTAGCTCGGTGTGGTGGCACGCACCTGTAGTCCCAGCTACTCGGGAGGCTGAGGCAGAAGAATCATCTGAACTCAGGAGGGGGCAGTTGCAGTGAGCCGAGATTGCACTACTGCACTCCAGCCTGGATGACAGAACAAGACTCAGTCTCCAAAAACAGACAGACAAAAACCATAGGAGTTAAATGAGCCCAACAAGGACCCTGCCTTAAAGGAGATTAGAG